CTTTTTTTTTTGTATTTTATTTGAAAAAACGAAAAGGCACCATGTCAAAAAGTATGTTGTACAAAAATTGGAGGAATTCACTGTGCCTGCCTGTGCAATAATCCAGATCTCTCTCTGTCTCTCATTTCTTAATTTTTGATTTGCATAATTTTAGATACTGTATTTTGATATTTTTTTTGTGTATAAGGGGTATGTGATTATGTTCTAACGGTTAATTTGTTTATAGCTAGAGGTAGCCACCGGATTGGATTCCAAATCCACCCAAAGGCCAGTTCATTGAATCGACGGTTCGCGGTTCAAAATCGCCCAACTGGTTCCACGCTGAACCGACAAATTAAAACAAATAATAAGAAATCAAAAAAACAATTTTTAAATTCACTGAACCGTCGTTCCAATTTTGAAATCAGTTTGGAACCGAAACCGATGGTTCGATTTGTGAAAAAAACATGAACATGGATCGGCCCGACTAAAACCACGGGCCGGTTGGTCGTTATTCTCAACTTTCATGGCTCTCATGGTCGCTCGGATGTTTCATCCATTACTGTTGTGTGTCATTTTCTTTAAATCTTATGCCCATCAGCCCATCACTTTTTTTCCCCCACATGAGAACCAATCTAGAAATTAAAAATGTCATTTTTTTGTCTGTTTGAAATATATTATTAGTTGGTTAGTTCAAGGCATTGGCCTCTCATCTTTAAATACCCTAAAAAACATTTGGTTAAGTGTTTCTTTGATATTTATCCTGTCCCAGTGTTAGCATTGTGGTATAGTACTATTTGTCTGATTCTAATGTTCCTTGTGCTATTTTGGTGCAAAAAACAATGGTGCAGTGCAAATTAAAAGGTCCTTATATGAAAATAGTACACTTTGATTTTGTAAAAAGGTCCTTATATGAAAATAGTACGCTTTGATTTTGTACACTGTCTGGAAAATTTGACAGGCACTAGGGTTTTATGACGCACTAAAGTGGATTGCAGCATACAGCTAGTATGGTTTTTTTATTTCTTTTTTTTTTTATATGTTTTTAGACTTTGAAATCCTCTTTAACGAATAGAGCTTTTTATTTTTATTTTTATTTGTGTTCTTATTTTTTGTTTTTCCTTATTTTATTCATTCTGTTTTGTGGTATCTTTCTTGGGTTTGGAAAATATTGCTTGTTACCTACTATTTTTTTCAAGCTTTGTAGCATTAACTGGTTTGCTTTTCCTGAGTTTTGACTTGATGTGATATGAAAATGACCTCCCAAGAAAGTTGCTATATTTGTCAAAACAAGCCTTTTCTTTGTTCTACTTTCTAAAGAAAGATGCTTCATCTGTCTGCTTTGTAGATGTATATTACCATGTTGTTGGAAATCTTGACAAAGAAGAAAGAAGAACAACAGTGTAAGACTCAAAAAGAAGATGGCTCCCTTTGCTGATAACAAGGATATTTTTTTTAGTGAACATAGATAGACTAAATAAATATATAAATCTCTAATTTTTAAATTTAACTAATAAAAATGTATATTTTTAACACAATTTTTTTAAAGTATTACAACTGAAAAAGAAAATTAGGTAGGCAATTGTTTCCGTTTTGTTCAAAATTTAATGAAATTGAAACCATGAAGGGCAATTTTTTTTTTTTTATTAGTACCTAATTTTGATAATGGGGATAAATGATTCCTATCGATATGTACAAAACAAATATGTAAACATGCATAATATATAGAATTATTTTTTACAAAACAAATATGTAAATATGCATAGTATATAGAATTATTTTATGCATAATATATAGAATTATTTTTTTCCTATGTGATATATAACATGTGCTACTTTGTTTTTTAAATTTATCTTGTTTTGGAAATTAAATTGCATAAGAATCCAAGTTGTTTAGGATATCTTCCTAATGAATGATATGTATCGATATGTATCCAAGAGACTTGTACAAAGTAGGATACTGATTTTCCCACATAGTACGTACAAATGTTTCATATTGATGTGCCCACAATTTGTAATCCATGATGCTTCATATCTTCCTAATCCGTAATTCACGTTATTTAATTGCATGTTCGTACGTAAAAAAATAATAATAAAAAAAAAAAGGAAACAAAAAATGATTTCATATTTTCAATACTTTTATAAAAATCTAATTGGTATTTAATGTTTTTAAATTTTGTTTTTCAAAGTGGCGCAAATTTTCTTTTCATTCTTAAAAAAAAGAAAACAAAAAATAAATCAATTTCAAATACTTTCATAAAAATTTAATTGGTGATCCACGATGTGAAATTTTGTTTTATTAAATTGGCACAAAACAAAATAATTCCATTTGAAACATTCTTATAAAAATCTAATTGGTAATTCATGTTTTGATTTTTCTTTTAAATAAAATTGGTGCATATTTTTTATTTGATACGTAATATAAGAAATAAAAACTGATTTCATTTTAAATACTTTCATTAAAAATTGAAAATAATAAATCATTGCCGTAAAATATGAAAACTAATTCTGCTAAATTTCGCATGTTTTTACTTATTGAGATTTTCTCCTTCCATACGTAAAAGTAGGAAAAAAATCCAACAATATTGACCAAAATGAAAGACATATATTTTAAAATTATTTCAAAATTTCTTTTATTAGAAAGTCAAACTATTTTGACTGACAAAAAACTTTCCAAAACAAAGAAATCAAAACATCTTTCAATTATTATAGATTTCGTTTTTACACCTATTCTAAAGGGATTAAATTTCTTGTGCTCTGATCTATCTGTTCAAATTGAAGTGGGCTTGTGGCAACTAACATATTGCCTAAATAATTATAATTTATATAGTCAGTAATCAACTTCAAGATTTATGCTTGAGGGATATGTTGATGGGAAGATTACACGGTTTCGTTACAGAACCATTCTGTCAGGTTTGAAACCGTTAGATCAATTATCCACGACGATTACATATTGATCTAACGGTTACAAATCCCGACGGAATAGTTCCGTAACGGAATTGTAGTTTTTTTTTTAGTTTTTTTTATTTAGTTTTGCCTTTTTCTTCTATAATTATTTCATTTCAGTTTTTCTTTAAGATTAAATATTATTATTTAATTACCACCCTTTTAAATGTACCAAATAAATAAAAGTATAAAACCAAACTTACAGTAATAAAATTAACTCTACTAACGTAATAAAAGCAAACATCTATTGTGTAGTAATTTTTTTTAATATTTTATTATATAACATTAATACTAATATTAACTAATTATAAATTCACATTCAATGCTATAAGAAAACTTACAAACTTACAAAAAATTCTACCTCAATACTTTTTCTTCAAGCATTTATTTTTTTTATCTTATTAAGTTGTTTTTTATTGGAAGTTGTCGAATTGATTTAGTGTATCCAAATCCCTTAAAATCATTTAATTTTTTTAATAACAATACTAAAAATAATATTATAATTTTCANAAAAAAAAAAAAAAATGTTTCATTATCAGTTACATTTTATGTCATTAACATAGTAGAATTAACTTATATAGTTTATATATATATTTATGTAATAAACCCGAAATTTAAAGAAAAAATGAAATGAAATAATTATAAAGAAGAAGAAGGCAAAACTAAATAAACAAAAAAGCAAGAAAGCGAAAACTAAATTAAAGCTATGGATAGGGTCAACTCTGTCTGTCTGTGTACGCATTTTTACACACACACATAACGTGTATATATGTTTCTGCAATCCGCCAATCCCTCTTGTTCTCATTTAATGTTTATCGGCTTCAGCTGTCCAGCGCTTCCTAATAAGGTTATATTGCTTTTTCAATCCGTTCAACTATTTCTAAATCAGGTAATTTTTAACTTTTCAATTTTGATCCTGCTTTTCAGTAAAAGTAAATGGGGCAGCAGCAGTGCCAACAAAATTGAAGGTGGTCTGTTCTCAACTGATTCACCTCTGAGCAATGATTGTGACAATTTGAGCGGTCGGTTCCCATGGAGGTCAAGGCTCTTGGAGCAATGGTCTCTTGGAGGATCTACTTTATGAGGCCAAGACTCTGAATAATCATTCCTCTGATTGGGCCACTTCATCTAACTTCAGCCATGTTAATTCATCTGTGTATTAGAGTTGTGTATCTGTGATTTTTAACATTTATGATGTTAATTTAGCTTCAGATTAGTTGTTGTAATGAACTCTTCCAATGTTCAACAAAGGTGTTTAAACTGCTACTTCTCCAAGTTGTTGGATTGAGCTTCTGTCTTTTATGATCCTCTTTAGTGTTTTCAGATCCTGAGTAATCAAGTAATTACTGATTATATCAATCATTCTCCAAGTTTTCTTCTATTACTCTGTCACGGCCCCACAGTCTACATTTTACTTCAACACTATTTGCTTCATCTTACCCGTTCAAGAAAAATGCATAATCTTTTGATTTGGAATTAGCCACCCCTCGTGGAAGATGAACAACCTCAAGAAAATTTGTTTTGTCCCATGTATAGCATAGGCCAAGGCATGTGTTGAATGAAAGTTGGATTCTCGATGCTGGAACTCAAAAGCTTCAGAATGATCCAGAATGATCTCAGTCTCGCCAAACTGTTGAATATATATTTGTTTGCTATTTTTTGTGTGTTTGTATTGTACAAATGCAGTGTGATCTTGCAGCAGCCTTTCTAGGCTGTTTCGCTTGCGATTTGCTATAGTGGTGCGTTGGAACATAATATTTGATGATATGATAAAGTTGCAACAGTTTGGTTACACAGCAAGTGAAAAATTGATGATCTGATAAGTTACAACGGTTTGGTTTGGTGACACAGCAAGTGCACATTCGACCAAGATGCTACAAATCAAGTTATACTCGTATGAACAAAACATGTTACAACAAACGCATCTGAGATTCACGCATACAGAAGACTGATGAAGATTAAAGAGAGATGCACAATCTTTCTGAATATCTCTGACCGAACATAGATTCTTATAGATATGAATCACCCGCCAGTCGGTGAGGGGTTTGGTTCATGTTTAGGACTAATGAGAAAGATGCAATCTGCCATCACTTGTTTGCTGTGCGCAAGTCTACAAGAAGCAAACAGAGGCAAGGCTCATGTCTAATATGCCATTTATTTGAGAAAATTTCTAGCAAAATTCTGCCTTTCTTGCCAGGTTTTCCCGACGAGCAAGGAAAAAAATCATTATCACGCAATCACACATCCGACATCTCAGTAAATAGTCTGACCAAAAAGAGAGAAACAGAAAAGAAAAGGCAAGCGTTAAATGTGAAAGCACTCAACCATTTCATTTGCTGTCTAGAATAATGACTGGAAATTATGAGAGAGAAAGAGAGTCATCTACCTTTCTATACGTTCCGAATGGATCGGATAGTACTTCTGGAATCCTCTCGACTGTTTAACTATTACCAATTCCTTGGTGGAGATAAGTCCCTTTCCAGTTTCACCATCAGATATTTCAAGGCCACAATCAATGCAAAGAGATTCAACCTCTGATTCCTGGAGCAGAAAAAAAAAAAGAAAAAAAAAAGCAATGTTAGAAAGATAATTTAAGCTCATTGCATTTTGTTTGATAAACAAATCTCAGCCAGAACATCAAGTCCCATCATCTTACTAGTTATTACAGAGAACAGAATAATAAGAAGCAAATTGACCACAAAGATCAACCTTCATCATCAGAAGCTTGGACAAGTACACCAGTGGATATGGTTGCAGTTTGTACCCTCCATAACTGATACAGGACAATGCTAATACCCGTGCCTGCAAATAGTCAATTTCACAAGAATCAGCAAACTAGGCAATTAGTTGTAACCATCATAAGAAACTGGACTAGTCCAAATGCAGTAAACTTGAACATTAGGTCCAATAGATAGAGTTCAGTCATGCTCTCACACCTAAATAAACTCAGAATATAGCAACAGTTCCAGATAGTTGATACTGAAACAAAATCTATATTTTCGGTCTTGATGATACAAAAATGTAACCAAAGCCATGTAGGTCAGTGCACAAGGAGTTCATTGTACAGCACAGAGACATTGAGTTCTATATGTATGATGGTATCACTCATGTAAGATAATCACCTCATTGATATAAGGTTCTATAAGGCAATTCTGCAGAAAGGATGCCTCTTTTTCTGTAATATTAATGAATCGCCTGTAATTCCCTAGTCGGTAACACCTGTTAAAAGAACTTAACATATTAAGAAGTAGACCACACACAATTAAATAAACAAATAATAACATGCAATTTCGGTAATATCTAATTACAATCCATAGGACAGCTGCAAACACTACTAATCACCTTAATAGTGCCCGCGCAAAACAAATCTCTTTTGATTTCATGATTCCTGAGGGAATGCGGCGAAACCACAAAGATAAAGGTTCACCCTGTAAATAAGAGACGGGCAACATTAAAAATTCATAAATCAGGAAAAGGATGCACGTTATAAAATAAACAAACATAATGGTTCAAGCATTACTTGGTTGTGAGATCCCAGATGGAGAAGAAGATAAAATGAATAAAACTCAGCTTCATTTCGGCACACAGAATGTGCAGCTCGATGTGCTTCATACAAGTTAAATAAAGTTGTCAAGACTTTCATAAGCTGTTCCAAATTGAGGTGAGACAGAGAAGCAGCAGCTGGCGTTCCACCAGATTTACGAAGGTGGTAATATGATATGATGTGAAACTTGACCTGCATACAGAAATTATAAGAATCTGCACTTGCCCAAAAATAAAAAAAAATTATAGATAATTCTAAAACCATCCATGATGTTTAGCCTAAATACCAAAAGAAAAAAAGGGCATTGTCTAACGAAAAAGAGTGACTATCACCAACTTATTTGACTAATAGGCATACCATTCTCTCGTACATGTGTATCACTTGATCACTGACAACATTCTGCATGCTAAGATCCTGCCTGATGGACCTAATCCTATCAAAAATGAAATCATGAACCACCTCAAAAGGAAGATCACTTGAATGCAGCAAGCTGAGAAGATAATCTAGAGTTTCCTCCAATACGGGGACGGGCCGAACATCAGAAGCTTTCACGTCTTTTGAACTAATAGTTCTGCAAAACTAATAGGACAAGAGCATCACGAGTTTATACATGCTGCAGCATACAATTACAGTTTTACATATATATTTTAGACGATGATCAAACTGTTCGATTTGAGGTAAGAGGTTTATTTGCTGAGTTTCAGCTATGTATTCCACAGCTCAGGAATGGGAGCTCACAATACACAACACCTTGTCGCCTCGTGTAATGTACGCAATCACTAAAATTTGCAACAATATAACTCCCAACTCCCAAGTCCCAAAGTTGTTCTCTTCTTCTTTTCTTTTTCCTTTTTCTATCCTATTTTTACAGAGTAAAGATTTTATATTTATATCACCTTTTTTACAGCAAGGGTGGGTGAAGTTCTAGCAGGATCGCCGTGGATCCTCTCGAAAACAGCCAAATCCCGCAGCCACTCTCGCCTCTCCCTCTCCTCCACTGTGATAAAAACATCAACTTGACAACACGGTACCAAACCAAAAAGAAAAAAAGAAAACCTTCATAAAACGGGAACATTGAAAACCGGGATTGAGGGGAATACCTGGGCACATGAAAGGGCAAGTCCCCACTAAGGTCGGAAAATCTTGATTGTCAAGTTCAGTATAATTTCTGCTGCTATTGGAAGAGGTAATTGCAGAGCGATTGGAGTTGGGGTTTGAATGGTGGGGGTAATTGGGACGGCGGGGTTTGGTGTAATTGGAGTGGGAAGAAGAAGAATAAGAAGACGAATAATTCCTTCGGTTAATGGGTTTGTAGGGCTGACGATTACTGTCCGCCATGGTTGAGGTGGAACGCCTTTTGTTTCTCCTGGTATGGTATTTGGTCGCTACTAAAAATGAAAGGGAAAAAGAATGCCTACACAAAAATCGTTTCTGTTAATCGTAATTTTCAATTCCATTGCATTCACGGTTTTTCACCGGTTTTTTACTATCAATCAATTCACACATAATTAGCATTAGTCACCCCTCACCACCAGATTGAAATCCATTGGGTTGTTTTGTGGATAGTGAGAACTCATTCATTTACCATTTCAAATATACTTCATTATTTTTGTACGGGTATAAACGGAATGGACATAATTAGAAATAAATATTTGGGTTCGTGTTGGTGAATATGAAAAAGCGACTGAAAACAGACTGAATGTGAAAGACAAATGAGCGAATTTGAGATAGCGTGCACGGCCAACGCTAATTATTACCAAGATTTGTCCGTACGATATGCATTAAATGCTGAGAGATCCGGTAATCATCGATCTAAGGGTGTTTAACAAGCAGGGACACATGTCGAAAATATTATTGGTCATATTTTAGACATCAACAACTTAAAGAAAAAAAAGATATATTTTTTCTGTATCTCTATATATTTTTCTATGCGAAATAAAATTTTAAGAAAAATCACATTCATTTTTGAAAAAAAAAATACTTTTTTTTATTTCTATTTTATTTTTAACAAGATATAATTTTTCAACAAAAAAGAAATCATATTTAATCACAACGATTGGATATAATTTTTAAATAAAAAATGGCCTCCATAGATAGAGATTTAAATGGAGAAAAAATATTTAAAAATGAAGTAATTTTTATGTTAGAAATGAGTTTAAGAAAAGATATGTAAGTAATATAATGTTAATTAATATTTACTAGTAGTTAGAAATATGTGGTTGAATGAATAATACTTTTTAGTGTAGTTGGTTTAGTGTGGTTGCGAGTGTTGTTATTCTAGTTTTGCTAGTCTCGGATTTTAAGCGGTCTTCTGACCTGTCCTCTGTTCCCACTTTTTCAGTTGTTGGCTGTTCCATTCAGCTAGTTTTGCTAGTCTCAGGATTTTAAGCCGTCTTCTGACCTGTCCTCTCTTCCCACTTTTTCAGTTGTTGGCTGTTCCATTCAGCTAGAAGCTGTGTATTCGCACATTTGTGAATTTTGATTTATAATATTATCTATCGTTTCAGAAAAAAAAAATACTTTTTAAATAATTAAATAATAACAACAATAATAATAGTAATAATGTTTTTTTAATTGTGTTAGCATGATACTATGATTGTAGAGAAGAAACAAAACAAGATGAAATTAAGAAGTTCGATTTAATAGAGATAAACCATAACTCACCAAACAAAAACTTGAATAATTGAATATCCAAATGCTCCCATTCTTGCAACAAATTAAACAAACAAGCTGAGATATAATTTGCCGTCCAAATAATCGTTGGCGAACTCAAATCACATAGGCCGACTTGGCCTACCTCCCATTACATTACAGCTAAAGAGCTATGTACTGTTGTTGTAAATGATTCTCATAATAACAAACACCTCACCATTTTTATTACAAACACAACTCTCACCAGAAAGAGAGGAAAAAAAAGGTCCAAGTCTTTACAAATTCGTCGAAAAAATGTTCAGAACCATCAATGTCTGCCTGATAACAGTGGCCTAGCGCTTCAAACACTAATTACAACACTTTGGCTTAAACAAAAAGACAGGCGCTAGTAAGTGCCACACGAAAAACCAAAACGAAAAGATTAAAGAAACACACATAAATATATTGGAGGAAAAAACACCCGAGTCGAAAAAATATCCTCCAACTTTGAGTGCCAACACAATCTTTCATATACCACCTTCTTCAAACTCATGACAAATATTAGCTCTATTCTTTCCTTACAATTGTGCTCCTCTTCACAAAAACTATCTTTGGACTCGGACGAAGCTGGAGCATGTAGTTGTTTATTGCGGGTTTCATGTTGCATTCGGATCCTATTCGCAGGGTTACCTACAGTGACAACTCAAATAAGTCAACGAATTTTCAAATGCAAATAAGATACACGACCAACGGTGACTTTTGCGTCATAATTTTCTAATTTCTTCCCATCCAGACAATTTAATAATGTCCCCGACAATAAATTCTAGTTTCGTCCTATGTGCATACGAATATAGAAGAAAAGGGGAGTAAAAAGTAAAAACCTCGTATTGACCAATGAGGGCAGCAAACAATGATGAAATTCCAAGAATCGCCAACTTCTGTCCAATGCAAGCACGTGCACCAAATCCGAAAGGAAGAAATGCTTCGAATTCGCTTGGATCTCTCAAAGTGCATGAATTGTGTTCTGTATGATTAACCAAAAAAGATGAGTTTTTTTTTTTTTTTTTTTTTTTGGTTCAGAGAGAATTAATATGCTCTTTCATACAAGTATCTATAATATTAGGAGAAAAAGTTTTACTGTTTTACCATCACGAGTCACATGTGTGGAAACACATTTGGCACCAGTGCTCGAAAGAAATCTGTGTGGGTTGAACTTGCCAGCATCAATTCCCCAATTCGAAGTGTCCATTTGAACCAACTGAACCGGCACAACAATCATGGAAGTAGCGGGTATCACCATACCATTTTTAAGAGTCAAATCTTCAATAAAGCAACAAAGGAAATAAGAAATCAGTCTTGTATATCAGAATGAATAATAATGTTCTAACGAAAAGCTACAACAACATACAAGATGAGGAATGTATCAACAATATTTGGTGAATGAGAAGTTATGAGTTAAATAGAGCTAGGATGTGACTTCAAGAATGAATAGGCTATATAACCAAAAAGGTCCAAATAGGTCAAATGTTATCTTAGTGAGAAAACGGAAAGGAATTGGAGATTTCCTTAACTTATATTTGGTAATAAATCCCACCATATTACACCTCACATGAAAAACTCGGATGAATTAAGCTTTGATGTTTCACTCTTGCAATAATTACTTTGAAACATATCTAACACTTACCAAGCAATCAATTCGAAATTTTTGAGTTTATCATACATGAGACATTTAGAAAGCCACTGGACCTTAGTACAAATATGACATTCTGGAAAGTCTTTACACAAGTTCCACGAGGACAGAATTTCACAAAATCGCCAAATCAACGTTCCACTAGTCACGATGTTGAAAGTTAAATAAAAAGTCTGAAAACCCCAGACTTGGAAAATTTTTAACCATTAGGAAGTGTGAACATAAGTAGTTTGTTTGGAATAACTTTTCAAAAACTTGCAGGTTAATTACGAACGGGCTTTTGTTTTCCAAGAAAACAACATTTTGCGGAATTAAGGAATAGAGACTTTTGGAGAAGTCCATATTCTAAATAGAAATTGATAGAAATGCTCCCAAAACAGCACTAAGACAAATTAGACTAAACACTTACATAAAGTGTTCTAATTACATAGTTTGCAAGAAGATGAACAAATTTTTTAAGATTTGAGATCCACCACGTCAGAACATATCGATTGAAACCAATTGTCTTGTTAGCTTATCAAAACAAGTCCAATAGATTCATTATTACAACCCTTGGGTTAACATCACCAATCAAGTAGGCACAGTAAAAAAGGATAAAAAGTAAAACAAAACTGAAAGCCACATGTCAATCATGAAGGGTGATGACAAGACCAAAATTAGTTACCATGCTTGAGAGAGCATCTTTGGAGTAGAGGTCCAGCTGGAAGAAGACGGGCTGATTCATATACAGTTGCCAGGAGAATGGGCCAATTCACATCCACAGCCTGTTGATCTGCAATCGTCCTAACTTTTGGTGCCATTATCACTTCCGAGTGAATCTATTAAAAATATTTCATCAGTTAAAATTGTGATTTGAAATTAATGATTGGTAATTAAGTATTGTGAAGTGTGTTCCGGTGGTGGATATGCATAACAAACTTATTGGGCAATGTTCTTGATTTATTAGATTCACAAATAGAACATTTCCCTTCTTAAACTGACATTATGAAATATTTTACAGTGGAAAAGACAATGAACTCAAGGAGAAAAGCCTAAAGAGAGCAAAATTCCCTTTTGCAATTTATACATATCAAGAACAATCTATGGTTTATCCATTTATGGTTGGTCCCAGAACTAATCAACCAATTCTTCTAACTTAACGTTGTTCGGCCCGACATTTTTCTGAACCGCAACAACTCTATTACAACTACCAAGAAAATAGGTATACAGAAACTTAAACTTCAGTTAGTAAGTGAAGACCTCTTGAAGGGATGAAAGGATGTGGCACTAATGTCTCAAGGAAGGACGAACAAAAGCAATAAACTATTTACCTTCAGATATAAACACTAAACAGCAATATCTAACTAAAGACACCTTCTAGTTTAGAAAAGCAGCAAGAGATAAAGATACTGCACCTTTCACCTTTGCAATAAGCAATGTAATCATTAATGACATTGAAAATAGAAGCTGAAATTTGAAAATTGAAAATAAACAATGGATATCCTTGATATGTATAATATAATTTTAAAGTCAAACCTAGACTAGATAAATTAGTTTAGAACCAAACCATAAAGCATGAGTGCATCAGAGTTAACACACCAGAGAAATCGATTAAAAATCATGCTTGCCACAATAAACTTTAAAAATCATAAAAACTATTGTAACATTTAATCAAAAACAGAACCACCTTATCCTGTATGTCTGTATGTGTCACAAGCCTCGTCAAGACATTAGCAATAAGTGCACCCATGGTCAGAGATCCGTGAAAGATCAGACTAACTACTTCCCCACATAATTCACATTCCATGTCATCATGGCCACCAAAATCCTGTAAGAAGTCTGACTTGCAGTTCTGTTTGCTTTCGTGTATGAGCTCCTCAGTTAAGCACTTCAACTCAGTACAAGAGTCCTTAAACTTCCAAAATTCCTTTTTCCAGAATGGAGTAACACCATAAGATGCCCAAAAGCATGCCTCCCTAGCAATCTCCATTAATAGCGCCTCGTATTCAGCTGCCTTAGGCCATGTTAACAATGCATCACCAAATATTGTAGCTCCTAGAATGGTAAAAGCTAGATGCAGAGAAATAGTTTCACAATCCACAACTCCTTTAGCTATTGCACATTGAGCTCTTTCTATGATGCTATCCAGTATTTTTTCAGGGATCAAACTGATTCTCTTGAGCAACGTACCTCCAAGTTTCCTTTCCACTGACTTACGTTTATGTTCTACCTGCAGAAAGAAGATTAAGTGTACCGTGTAAACTAGCAATAAATGAACAGATCCGTTCTATTTTCAACAATACACAAAATAGGCCCAGTGAATTATGCTCAGAGACTTGAGCATCATCAGAAACAAACAAAAAAAAAGGATATGAAAAGGAAGAATAGATGGAGAATTTTATTTAAGTATTCAGGGAGAAATTTGACAACAGTGAACATTTTACTTCAAATGAACAAATAAAAAGAAGTGGACCAAAGAGAGAAATGCTCATTGAAGAGCACCCTAAACCTCCAATGTCAAAACACCCAATAGTAATAGGCACCTCTTCACACTCGGTGACCCCTCTTCAGGATGGTTGCAAAGAATATCCAGCAAACTTAACCATTTAGTGTATGCATGAAAAAAGGACTAAAATTTCTTTTGCTATGATGCTTTACAGTTTACACTAAATCTAAGATTCCATATACAAGTTAACCATAAACATACCAGCAAATAATATCTTGCAAATTGAAAACACAATTGCCACACACTTTATAAACAAAAAGGAAGAGGAAGCTTTATTAATGTTCAGTCTTTTCCATTCATTCAACGAATAACAATAATACCTCCATATTCACTTGAGCAGAAAAGATCAAAATAAAATGAGGAGCATAACATACCTTGTCGAAAGACGAGACAAAAAGGCTCGATCTCCCAAAAGCCAAACGAAATGCCCTCCCCGTTAAAGGCAATTTATCTTCAGCCTTCAAAAGGACATCTTTGATAAGTTCTTTATCCTCTATTGAGACCAACAGTTGAGTAGGCCCAAGCCAGAGTCTTACAACACCTCCATATTTCTCGTGACACATATGGAGAACATCTGGTGAAAAAATAAAAAGGAAGAGTCGCATTCATCAAAATTGTTCCTTTCTTTGATTACACTTAATTTGAGCTTCAGCACTACAGAATTTACTTAAAAAAGATACAGGACAATCAATAACACAGCCCCCGGACTTCATACTATTCCATTGATCATAAAAACCAAACTTAAGTGCTTGATGTTTTTCAGATTACACAAGTATAAAGAAAAACTCCAAGCTCCAAAACACACAAGCGCGTATTAATTCAGAACCGACTCATCGAAAAAGGTAAAAGGGCACCCAACAAAAGCAGGAAAAAAAACGACGAAGTGACAAACCGGTGAGATTGGAGCCGGCGATGAGGTGGCAGTGGCCATAGAAACCACACGCGGGGCCCGGTAAAGGCCCGGCCTTGGCCCATACCTCGAACACCTTAAACAGTTTCCTGAGCAAATAGGCGGTGACGCCTATGAGAGCGAGCCACAAAAAGGCGTTGATCTCGCGTTCAACGCAGGACGCCATGACTGCCGAGCGTCGACCAAACCCTTCTGAGGAAGAGAGAGAAGAAAACAGAGTATCGGATCTTGATGGGATTGTATCCGCCCAAGTACTGTTCTTGATGTATGTCGCCATTTTTGGTTTTTTGTTTTTGTCAATGGAACACAACTGTAGAGAGAGTTGAGGTCAAATCATTTGTGCATCTATTCTTACAACAGCGACCAAGTGAAGGGTGAACACACTATTTTAATGAGGTTTGCGAAGATCAATGATTGGTCTTGTTGTACTGTTACCGTCATATCCCTCCAAAATATTCAAAAGTCTACTATGTTCACGATGATTTTTAATGGCGAGATTAAGAAGTGTATAAATTTAATATACGTAATTAATGTTTGTAGTAAGGTACGCAAACAAAAAAGACAAAAAACACAAGATGTCGCCCATTGGTTGGATGATAAAGAATAACTAGCAAGAAGTATATTGGTAGAAAGGAAGCTTTGAGTTTAGCTCGTTTTCTAGTGGTGCTTCTTCATAATCCTTCTATGTATCGGAAACTTCATAATTTTTTATAGTTTATAGTAGTCCAATTATATCTTGCTTCTATCCCATTTAGGACTTTAAAATTATAAAATACTTTATTAACTTAAATTATAAATAAATTTAAAAGTTCATAAATTTTATATTTGTTATTAAATTGTCATATATGATATTTCAAATTAATCACCTACTTTTTCTATCTTACGGATAACTGGTTCAAGCTTAAGCGAATTCTAGAGAAAGTCTTTCCATTGGTTCATGTCCGTCCCCTTAGGGAAGCCAGCACGAGTTTCGATTTATGTCACATTGCATATATAAATGAAATAAACACTTATATTTATATTTATTATAAAAAGTAAATTACTTATTAATCCTAATTTAAAAATACACTAGTACGACACCCGTGTACTACACGGGTTGTTTGAAAAAAAAATATGAAACATAAAATAATAAAAAAATACATATTGTTGTATAACTATTTCAATTCTTTAAAATATATCAGAAAGATCATGTAATATTCTATAACGATTTCAATGTATTTTTATAGATTTTCTAAAAATATTTAAATAATATATTTATGGTTGGATTGAAAAGATATAATATGCAAGTAGCCATATATTTTTTGTAAAATTATAGTATTATTTTTTATTTAAACTATATAAAAAAGTTATTTTTTACATTAATTATATAAATAAAATAATATATAACGCTAAATTTTTTATTTTGGTTTAGACGACATATAAGATAAGAATCCTAAGATGTAAATAAGCTTTATAAGATAAGAATTTAGAGTTGGAGGATTTACACGGCATATAAGAATCATAATCCTATTTATTAAGTATTTTATTTTAAACAATTAGGTAATGTATCCGAACCAAAAGCCGAAGCATGTAATGTTGCCAAGTAAGCTTCCGAAGCATGCGAGGCAGCCATTTAGGCTCAGCACGTTTTCAAATTATATTAAGAGGGGATATCAATTAAAAAAGTTATCCATAAATTTATTACATATGATTAGTAAAACTATTATAATATAAGATGAAAAAATAGTACAAATAAAAAGTCTCATTTTAAATATAAATAATAATATAACTTTCTAAGAATTTCAATATGAAATTTTAACCGGCGCTCGTGTAATTCACGGATGTTGTATCTCATTATTTAAAAAAGTATTTCATTTGTAATGTCGGTTTAAGGAATCATACTATTTATACGATATGCATATTTTACTAGAAAATATCATACTTTAAAAATAATATATAAAAAATATGACATTTAATTATTATAAACGTCCATTTTCGTTCACAAAGTATGACTGACGGGTAACCCGCCTAACGACAAAACTATCTTAGTGACCAATTTACAATAGTGTTGAATTTTAACCTCATTATTAGTCATCACCAAAAAAGAAAGTTAAAATAATGTGTTTTTCGAGTGCAATCATATATTTTAATTTCCTTTATTTCTTCACCCCATTTTTAATATATTTTTTAAATTAAAAATAATTATTGTTATACATTTATTTATATAAGTGGCTATTATTTTTCTATTGTGTTATAATTAACTTTATGGTTTATACATCACTTTACATTACAAACTCTATTATTTCTTACTAGTACGGTACCCGTGCGATGCACGAGAAAATATATTATATATATATATATATATATATATTTTAAAAGATATTTTTGTATTTAAATTATCTCATGCCATTAAAAATTTTATGAAAATAAAATTTATATGTTATTAAACACTTCCTTATGTACAACATTATTGATTTGATTCTTTGGCACGTAAAGTACTACATAGTTGTTCGAACTTATCCAAAATTGCATATTATTAGTTATTAGTTCACAAATTTTAAAAAAATTAAAGGATCTTATTTATTGAATAAAATTAAAGTAGAAAAAAAAGTAAAATTTTTAGGGATTTTCATCCATTATTTATTTTAAATCTAATTCTAAATTTCAATTAAGAAAAATTTAAAAGAATCATTAGTTAGTCCCGTAAATGAAACTGATTTTTTTATCAAACAAATTGATCATTTTTAAAAAAAAAAAAAACCAAATAAAAAAAATCATCAAATTTTCCTAAAAATGCAACCAAATTTTCCTAACATTGCACCAATTTTTATACCAAACAAATTGAATTAAAAATAATTCTAATAAAAAATTGAAATAAATTGTTAATGTTTATGCAACTGTCTCTTTCTTACAGAAAATGATATGAACTTAACCAAAAAAAAAAGGATATGAACTTACCAAAATCTCGGTAAAACATGGTTAAGAAAAAACATAAGAATAAAAAAAAATCGACATTTAAATTTTGAAAAGTTGCACATAATCTTTCCTAAATAATTGGATAAGGTGACATTAAATATCAATGATGAACCGCTGTTGTTACCAAAAAATGTGGACACAATTTTAAATGTACATCCCGTCCAAATATCAGTTTTACTTTAAAATAAAAATTGCATGTGGCTTTATCCAGTTTACACAATTTTTTTGAAAGAAAAAATTATTCAATAAGATTGGAAGAATTGGTTAATAATTATACAACTATTTGCTTCCTAAATTTGTATCCAAATTTCACGGTTTTTATATTAATTTGTATTTAGAATTGTTTTCAAAAATAATTGGCACATTTTTTGCATAAGAATCTCCAAATTTGTTACCAAAAAAGATATGATTTAAATTTTGGTAAAAAAATAAAATATGATACGAAAAATATGAGATTCAAATTTTGCCATAAGAATCTCCAATTTTGTTAACAAAAAAATAAGAATTAGATTTTGTTACTAAAGATTTACATGTATTTTTTTGAACTTTCTATTAGTAGTAAGTCAAACATAATATTTATTTGGTCAAACTTTCTATTAATGTATTTTTTAACAACCTCTTTATATAGATATAGATATAGATATAGATATAGATACTAACTTTATTCACCTTTCAACAATAAAATAATATTCAGTTGATCTTTTTTCGGTTAGTTCTTTGTGCCATATAAAAGGAAGTGACACAATTTTGCAATGTTAAACGTGATTTTCAATGTTAATGTGATGCATGAATGATAAATGTGATTTTAAATGTTATGTGATTTGTGAGTTGATGAGACGTGTCACATTATTACTCTCTATATATGCAGTAATGCAGATAAATGCACAGTTTTGTTTAGTATAATTGTGTTGTAGGTATTTTTTATTTATTATGTTTTTTAATTTATGTATCAAATTCTAGTATTTTGAAATTGTCCATATAAATATAGATATTTTAAAAATATAGAAATTGTTAACCAATTATATAAACAATATTAACTAAAACACCTCAAATATATGCAAGAAGAAACATACTGGAGCCGCATATATGGCTATCATTAGTCCTCTTGGGTCCCTCCATCTTGGCGGCCTGTGCATTTTCAGATGGAGATCTACCTTTGACTATGCATTTTTCTCGGGCTAATGGTGCAGTTATCCTCCTAGACCTGGAAATATTTTACTTCAATGATGTAGCAACGGTCTCGTACCATTCTTAGAGATACTTTATTTTATCCGACAATATAGCGGCGGTCTCTGTTGTGGCCATAAAGAGCGGTTCTGAAATGGAACATGTGCATTTACACGAGTCCTCAGATCAAAGATGAATAACGATCCAGCTTTTTACGACCAACTGTTGTATACCACTTTAGTCCCAAGAACATAGGAGCCCTATGTTATATATGATTTTTTTCGATCTGAATTAATGTGTAGCAGTTGCCCCGAAGTCTCGTCAACACATAATTTACATAACGTCGGTGTCGTACGATCAAGAAAGGCTAAGAGTACGGGTCTTCTTGCCAATCTCTGAAGTATGCTAATCTCTCGGGATCGTCACTGCCAATCTCGGTATCATCACTGTCAATCCTCCTGGATCACTGTTGATCCCCCTAGATTGTAAAAGGGCCAATCCCCCTGCCAAAAAGACTGCCAAAAGATGTTTCCCAGCCAAAAACCTGCCAAAAGTTGTTTCCACCGCCCAGAACCACTGCCCAATGTACACGGTCTAGCAGCCTACAAATCAAATTTCCTGGACAGGTGTCTCGCCACATTTCACGTTCCATGTGACAAATCCATCTGATCTGCAGTGCTGGCTGAATGGAAGCCGCCAGTCTACGACAATGAAAGTGGTATAACTCTGGTGACAGCAACAACACGCCGTAATTCACCTAATGTAATGTCTTAAAGTCCTTAGAATTCTTTTATATCTGCAGGCTCCAACTGTTTTCTGATCCATTTTCATTTGTATGGTACAAAATCTATTCAATTTACAACTCTGAAGCAGAACTCTCTGTCTTTTGCAGAATTTCGATTCAAAAATTCACCACAACAACCTTCTTAACAACATTCTTGCCAAGGTAGGATCATCTTAATTTAATTTGTTACATAAGCATGCAAAAAAGATCTTGATCTGATATTTGTGCAATCCAGAAAATATTAATGTTCTTTATTATGATCTTGAAGAACTATGTACTAGTGTTGATAAATTTACCTCTGCCCAATTGATTGTCATACTCGGGCAGTTTCTTTTCAACTTAACTTGGATAATTTGATTTGGTGCCAGGTAGAAGGGAATAATTCACAGGCTGATGATGCAATAATGCTCGACAAAGATGGTTACGTGTCTGAAACTAATGCGACAAATATAGTAAGCTCTTTTACTCGGCCGGCATGTAGGATTCTCAACACTCCCATTCCTTTCATTAAGTCGTCACTAATTAAATGATTTCACCTACTCCTATTGTAGTTTCTGGTGAAGAAAGGCCAGGTTGCAACACCACATGCTGATTAGTGTCTTCCTGGAATAACACGAGCAACTGTAAGATTCATAACATATACACATTGCACCAGAGAGTCTTTTATATTTTCTCCTTTTTGACTTCCCATCTTTAACAAACTTGAATTTTTACCTCCCTGTAAATATTTACATATTGTGGTTTGAGATACATCTAAATGTTCTACATATACCTATTCTGGTTACTCACTTGCCCTCATATCTGACTTGCAGTATATAGACTGGTTAATCATTGTGTTTTGCAGGTGATGGAACTTGTGGTGAAGGAAAATTTTCTTTTGGCCGAGCGGCGTATTAGTCTGTCAGAGTTCCACACAGCAGACGAGGTTGAATCCTTTTGTGTTCTCCGTAATTCATCTAAAAAAAAGGACAAGTGCAATCAAGCTTCTAGCTGGTTATTGATATTGATGATGATTTATTAACCCTCCGTTCTTTT